CATGCTTTTTATTACATCTAGTATTTCATTGGCTGTTATTGAGTTATTGAGAATTGTTATATCTTCTTGATTCAGTTTCGGTAATTTGTTCTTTCTAGGAATCTGTCCTATTCGTCTGTGGCTTCTATTATGTGAGAGTAAAGATTCTTAAAGTAGCTATTGATGATCTTCTGAATTTCCACTGGGTCTGTGGCGATTACACCCTTTTCTTTCCTTATTGCTTGTATTTGAATTTTTTCTTTCCTCTTTTTGATGAGGTTAGCTAAGGGTTTATCAATTTTGTTTAATCTTTGAAAGAACCAGCTTTCTGTTTCTTTAATTCTTTGAACTGTTTTCTTCATCTCAATTGAATTAATTTCTGCTCTAATTTTTGTGATTTCCTCCTGTCTTTGGGCTCTGGATTTGGTTTGCTCTTTCTTTTCTAGATGTTGGAGGTGCAACATTAGAGTGTTTATTTGTTCCCATTCTGTTTTCCTAATGTGTGAGTTCACAGCTATAAATTTCCCTCTGAGAACTGCTTTCTACGCATCCCATAACTTCTGATATGTTGTGTTTGAGTTTTCATTGAATTATAGATTTAGTTCAATTTGTTTTTTAATTTGATCTGTGACCCATTGGTTGCTGAGTAGAGTGTTGTTTAGTATCCAAGTATTTATGGGGTTTTTCAGGATTCTTTTTCCTTTATTTCCAGTTTCATTGCACTGTGGTCAGATAATATGCATGGGGTAATTTCTGTTTTCTTGCATATACTTAAGCATGACTTGTGGACTAGTTTGTGGTCTGTTTTAGAAAATGACCCATGTGCAGCTAAAAAAATATGTATTCAGCTGTTTTTGAATGGAACACTTTGTATATGTTCACTAAGTCCATTTGGTCGAAGCTCTTTTTCAGTTCTGCTACTTCTTTGCTAATTTTTTTGTCTGCTTGACCTGTCTCTTTGGGATAATGGGGTATTACGGTGTCCTGTTAAGATTGTTGTATTGCATATTAGATTGTTCATGTCCATTAAAATTTGTCTTATATAGTTGGGTGGTCCCCTGTTTGGTGTGTAAATATTTATGAGTGTTACCTCTTCCTCCTGAATTTTTCCCTGAACCAGTATATAGTGGCATCCTCTACTTCCTTTGATCATTCTTGGTTTGAAGTTGAGGCTGTCTGAGAACAGGATTGCTACCCCTGCTTTTTTCTGAGGTTCTGGGGCATGTAGTATTGTTTTACATCCTTTGACTTTCAGCCTATGTATTTCTTTTATGAGTTAAGTGTGTTTCTTGTATACAGCATATTGTTGGATTTTGTTTCCTAATCCACTGTGCCAGTCTATTTCTCTTAATTGGTGAATTGAGT